TTGTTTGCTTTTCCTTTTATACATTTTTTAAGAAATTATAAATAAGAAGGATAGTTTTTCTAATTTATCTTTTAAGATTTTCTTTTTAATCTTTATAAATTATTTACACTTTCCAATAAAGAATTAATCGCAAAAATAATGAGGAATTTTTAATTAATTTGATCTAATTAATTTTATAACTTAACAAGTAATTTGGAATAATTATTTATATTAACATGGATATATATATAACTAATATGAGACGGAGGGAGTATATAATACATATATTAATCATAATGATATTATTGTCATTATTGATTGTTGAGATGATAGTTCTATATTAAGTGAACAAGATCTACTTGATCGTCATCCTGTTGGAAAATAATATTCTTAAGAAATAATAAATACAATGATCATTTAATTATATCACCTTTTGAATATAACAAATTTAATTTGTTGAAAACTTATAATTATAATCAATAAAAATCAATTAGGAACTAAGTCATGATAAATTATTTTTGAAATATTTTTCAAACTGCATAACTACCAATTTGATATTTTTTTTTAATAATATAGTGGATAAATAAAAATAAATATTTATCACAATATTAATGTGCATAGTGACAAATCCTTATATTCAATAGCCATGCAATTCTTCCATTAGAAATTGTTGATTAGTCTTGAGTGGGACATAGTTTTTCTTTTTTCAATCAACAGTCCACTATGGAGGCTTTGAAACGGCTCAACCTCGTATATTAAAGAAGAAAATAAGTACATGGAGAGGGACATCGACTATAACCAACAAGAAAAAAGATGAGGTGGATATCAGCTTAAAGAGCATGCCATCGACTCAACCAACAAACATTTTGCACAGAAAAGTCTCATATCGAATGTAAAATCCTCTCAAATAAAGATAGCTTCGTACTCAGAGGAACTCAAACTAGAGATCTCTGATTAATAATGAAGGAGTGTTTATCACTCTATGAACCTTATTATGTCTTTATTCCTCACCTTTTATTGACATTTGAATCCATAGGCTTATTTTATTAGACTTTAATAGCCTTGGCAACCTCTTTATCTATTTACTTTCCTAATGTCTGTTTTACTTTTATGAGATGGTGCTTATATATATATCGGGTAGGAGGAGATTATAAGATGGAGAATTCAATCCGTATTGATAAGGTGAAGTTTCAGATAGTCAATCAAATGAGCTACATAAATTACATAAAGATGTATTTTCTAAGTATCAGAGTCAAATAATTCAATTTTTAATTAATAGTGCATGAAGTAGTCAATTATATATATTAAGCACATGGCCTCTGAATTTCGTTCAATACAACGTTAACAATTTAGTCCAAACTAGAACTACATAAATGTACAAATTACTTCCAAAATAATTCTATCCTTGTCTATCTATGGTACTTAGTCAAAATGTGTGGGAAAATTAAAAGATTATAAATCAAGTTGTGATTTGAACAAATCTACATTGCACAACTACTTCATTGTTTAATTGTCTTTGCCGACAATTATTAAAAGACAAATATCTGGTCACATCAACGTGAGAAATCCACGAGATATAATTACGTCAAGTTAAAATATCTAGTTGGTCAATATTAAAGAAGTTCAAGTATCAAACTTTAGTTATGAATCAAAAGATTAGTTCCTCATTGTCTAGTTGCAACAGTTAATACATACCTTGTACTTTTGAATATATAATAAGGGTCATTTGGTATAGTGTACTATAGTTAAATATAGGATTGATATTAAATTTATACCTTAATAAATTAAAATAGTATTTGCTTGCTATTTTATTCCCTAGTACATTAGGTACATTGGACTCGAAATAATAACAAAAAAAAAATATAAGCAATAGTACATGTATTATTAAAATATTAGGTATCAAGTAGAAGGAAAAAAAACACTCCTTAAACAATTTGCAATTTGCTTTAGGTACTCATCATTTATATAGTTTACTATTTAAATTATCTATATTACCTTAAACTTAAAAGCATGAACTCCTAACTTGAATGTTAAATTATTATAATATTCCTAACTTAGGTTGTGACTTTTTTGATGAGTTGTGACTTTTCCGATAAGTTGTGACTTTTTTCAAAGGGTTGTGATTTTTCAATGAGTTGTGACTTTTTTAAAGAGTTGTGACTTTTTCAATAAGTTGTGACTTTTCCAAAGGGCCGCTGTGACTTCTAGGAAAGGTCACTTTGTTGATGAGTTGTGACTTTTTCGATAATTAGTTGTGACTTTTTTCAAAGGGTTGTGATTTTTCGGTGAGTTGTGACTTTTCCAAAGAGTTGTGACTTTTTCAATATGTTGTGACTTTTCCAAAGGGTTGTGACTTCTCGAAAAGGTCATGACTTTACAGATAAGACACAAAAAACACTTGTTCATACTACTCTTTGTTGTATAAATAGAGGGGTTTCCACTCATTTTTCAACCACAATTTTTTTAATCTCCTACTTTTCTTCTTGCATTTTAAAAATTTCGTGAGATTTATTGTCGTTGAGTGAGTTTGAAGTTTAGCGGAATATGAGGTACCACTATTCTGATGAAGTAAATCGTTCTATCCTAAGAAGGCAAATTCCATAACCTCGTGTACTTGAGGAAAATAATTTTGATGATATAATAACTATTTTTTGCATAATATATACATTAGTATGTAATGTTCCAATATATGAAGGTAACATGATGTAATCTAAATTCATTTGTTTTTGTTAACAAATTCTCTTGTGATGTAAATATATGCTTCTGAACATCTTTTTCCAAAATTATTAAACTTCTCAAGAGTGAAAATATGTGAATATATATGAATCATTTCAAAATTATCAATTACATTATAAATTTTATAATCAGTAATATGGAATAAACATTTTCATTTTGTCCCTACACTAAATTAAAATCTAATAACTATAAGAAAAAATGGTAACATTAATTAAAAGTTCTATTTATTTATGTACGTATAAAATTTATTAGAAATACATCTATTGCACATTAATCATTTATTTATAACATTATAAATTCTCTTAGTTATTACTAATTATTGCAAACGTTATTCACACTCTTTAACATTCTTTAGTTATTATATTATGAATTCTCATAATTATTACATTAATTATTTCTATCTTTCATCTTTTCTTGTATTAACTTTTGACCAATAATTTTTTATATTATAACACCGCCCCTATATATGTGATAACACGATGTTGTTATTTTTTCTGAGATGAATCATGCTTGATTGAATAAATTGAAAATCGTTTACAAGAACATGAACTACATAGTTGTTGGGTGTAAGATAAACATGTGATCATGTATATGATTTCACAAATAGAAAATATTCTTTAATTTTAATTTTTAGTTTGTTTGGTAAAAAGAAGGAAACCTTTGTCGGTTAACTATGGACAGTCAAATAACTCTCTTTGGTTTATGTATACAGTCAATCAAGAAGTCAAATATGAGAGCTAACAACAAGAACGTCATTTATTATGTTATAACTTATAAAATAAAAATTAATATACAAAAATTAGTTCTAAAAAATAAAATGTAGTTGTTCTCTTCACATGTTCATATGACATCTAAACAGTTTAACGTGGAATACACGTGCAAAGTACATCTGGTTAGATGACAAGAAAAATAAACAATAAATATCGTCTATAAGGTAATATTACTGAGATACGACTAATTACATGATTGAACCTCATCAAGTTGAAATAAATATATGCATTATTACATTTAACTAATAAAATTTTTCATTGACCATCTTCATAGATTCACGTGAATAAGAGATATATATGACGGTTCACACTAAACATTCACAAAAGAATCTGCAATATTATTTTGTGCAAAGTTTATTACTCAAATCTTCACTTAAATAAGCAATATTATTTACTATAACATATATTTTATGAGTTGGTAATCACGTGCAACACACGTGTCGAAAAGCTAGTAATATGTAAACATACCTTCAAATTTTACCTTAGCTAACAAGTAAATACTTTAATTTTGAGAGTGTACATTTAGATAAACTCAACTTGTTCCCACTGTAATAGTAGAACGCTCTAACTTACAAATTCAAATGATCATTTAAAGTACACTTCCAAAATATGATGTCAGAAATAGATCGATTTTATATCACCTTTCAATTCAAATTAGCAAAGCAATATGTCCTTGCATAATATGGATTCTAAACATTCATGATCTGGATGTGAATGAGTCGAATAACTTATCCCTCGATTTATTAGTGACCATCTCTCCAGGGATTGTGAAAGATGTTCTACTAGAAATATTCTTGTTATTGCTTCGATTCATATTCCCCAAAAGTGGATCCCACTCTAATAGCTCCGAATAAATTAAATATGTGCGTTAATATCAAAAACACTTTTTCACTCTTTCATATATTAAGAGATTTCTTGGGGAAAAAATGTTATTTATGTGTCATGTTGGCGTCAGATGTTCATGAGTCATAGTGAAAGCAAGTTGAAGTGTTCAGTTGATACACGTTGAGTTGATGCCTATATATATACTCTTAAAATTAAAGACCTTACCTACCAATTGAGATCAAGTTTAAATTTCTATATTGATGTATTATGTATATTATGCATAAACTAATTTCATATAATATATTTAATGTAATTAACTTATTTACCTACGTGATGTATGCTTGCAAATCACTCACAAAGCATATCCAAATTTTTAGCTTACAAAGTGTCTTATAGTAACATTTTATGTACAAAAATCTTTTGATATACTCTTGCTGTTCTCAAATTTTTTTTACTGATGTGATTGCGAAATAAACCATTGACATAATATATAATACCCCTGCTAACAAGGAAAAATTGATAAGAAAATAAAATAAAAATTGACATACATTTCGATCACTTGGAGAATTGAACAATAATACGACTAACACAATGAGAAAAATAGAAAAATCTCAGTAGTTCAATTGATTGACTATTGAACTTTCACCTTATTGACGTGGGTTGTACAATACTAAATTATTACTTCATCTTTTACAATGATGGAAAAATGGGAACACCTGGTAAGGTACCTCCACCATTGACAATGAAGATATTGCCCGTTACATATTCAGAAGAATCATGAATCAAATATCGAATTACTGATGTTAAAGCTGGATCTGTGGTTCCAACAAATCTCTGAGGGAGGGTTTTATAAAGAAATTTATGTAACCATTTTTGTTGAAAAAGGCTCAGATCTGTTATCTCATATTTGAATATTCCTGGTGATATTGAGTTCACTCTGATCTTGTCTACTCCCAATTCAAGAGCCATTATCTGCAATTCGATCATCAAGTAGATTTATCATAATCTATGAACTCAAAATACTGAGTACTCAACACGCATAGTGAAATATCTATGTGGAAGAGAGCTAATAACAAGTCATCTCAACGTACATTCATCTAAGCCTATAGAGATTAATTTATTATTATACGTACGTACCTTAGTGACCATGTCAAGAGCCATCTTTGAAGAAGCGTAAGCAAGAGTCCCTGGTACTACTACTCGATTTAGGGCAGCTATTGAAGTTATATTAATAACAGATCCTCCACCAATTGTTTAGCATCGCGCATATTTTGACACTAACCATGCCCCTCTTAGATTTGTCCTAAAGGTATGTTCCCACTCTTCCTCTGACAATTTCAGTGAAGAGCTCACACTACCTATACAAATTAGCCAATTTCCTATTATTATCAGTAGTAGCGGAAAGAGGAGATACAACGACATTTATTTAGTGACTTTTGAAGCAAATGTCAAAAAATTATAATTTTTCGACATTTATGAAAAAAATGTCAATACAAATAACGACATTTAATACAAATGTCTTAAAAACATCATCATTTGGTGACAAATGCCATAGAGCAACGACATTTGGTGTCAAATGTCGTAAAAATAACGACATTTGGAAAAAAATATCATTAAAACAGTGACATTTGATACAAATGTTGAAAATATTATGACATTTATTTCAAATATTACATTGTTAGTCTCTAATTACTGACACTTACACAAAATCGTAAAAATTTAAATCTTATTGAGTAATTTCATCACTCTTTATTTATATTTAAATCAAGAAAAAATATAGAATGATAAGTATAGTAATTACATAATGTATAACAATTAATGAGTTTGGAATCAATTAAAATTACTAGACTAAAAAAACGTAACGGTTTATTTATAAAATTAACTTCAACACTTAAAAATACTTCTCAACATTTAAATCTTATCGACAATGGGTTCTATATATAATACTTTTGACATTTCTATTTTAATATTTCATTTTTTCATGAAAATAGTTATTTTATTTTATTCTATTTAATGTAAAGATCATATATATTATAATTATTTTTGTTTTCTTATATCCAATTATTTGTTTAGTCATAGACCATAGTTGCTAAGTACTACATTTATTTACAATTATTTAGTAATTGTACATAAAAATGAAAAAATGTGAAAAAGAGGAGATAAAATAAAAATGATGTTAATTAATGGGCCAAGAGGCCAAATAAATATCACAAAACCTAGCACTCACTTCTTATACTTCTCCAGCCGCTACACCCCTCACCGACTTCTTGTTTTGTTAATTCATTCATCCATTACTAATGGCAGTGACGTTGATGAAGATGAAATTAAAGTCAAGGAGAAATTGATTATGATGTGGACGGTTTGGAATCTTTAAATCATATGAATCTGTATTTACAATTGTTCAAGTTCTTCTCAATATTTTTTCTGTGTGTGTTGTTTTTTGTTTAATAAGAAATAATAGATTTTTTTTCTACATGAACTTCGTGTGCAGTCTCTCCAAAGTGAGATCAATTGCTGACTATGAAATACTTGGCTTGTAAAGAGGTCAATTTGTCAAACTTTGGTGACAGAACTTGTTCCAAAAATTAAGAAAATTAATTGGAATTAGAATTGATCTTGACCTAGTTAGAGTTGAAAATATTGTGTTTACTTAAATTTGAATTACACTTGAGAGAGCAACTCATTTAATTTATTATTAAAATAATTGTTCAAAATACCTAAAAAGGCATTTATTTTTGCATATATCTCATGTTCATAGAAATTGATCACAAAGTTTTAAATAAACGTCATTAAAAAATTTCCACATTTACTAGATGTGGATAGGAAATTTAAATGTCATCATTATATTTTAGTGATGACCAAAATATCAAATTTTAAACGACATTTTATAAAGGCCACATTTAATGTAAATTCCATAAAAAAAAATTACCAACACTTGCCTAAATGTCAAAAAGATTAAGTGACATTTTATATATGTCATAAATAAATGTCATTTGTTTATTAATGATATTTTTCTAAATGTCAAAAATTTAAAGTGACATTTTTATATATGTCGTAAATAAATGTCGTTTATTTATTAACGACATTTGCCTAAATGTCAAAAAATTAACGACACTCAAATTTGCGACATTTGATTCAAATGTAAATAAAATGTCGGTAAATAAATTTACGACATTTAAACGATCTAATACGACATTTATATAATATCGTCGTATCTATACTTTCTTGTAGTAAATATGATGCAAAACATGAGTATCTGTAACATTGTGGAACACCTTATTTAGTATACCATAGTCTCTATCTACCGTAGCTAAAGCTCCTCTTAGATAATCCCACTCCGATGAATCATAATGTGGCAATGAAGCATGAGTGTGGTGCATAAGAGTGATCAGCACTATAAATCCATTCACAATTAGGAGAGGCACTCCATAGATGCATAGAACCCAAGTTAGCCCTTGTGTCATAGCAAGGCGGTAAAATTATGCCATGGGATTGATTCAGAAAGGCATTAATCATATGACCTTTTTTGTCCAGATCTAAGGGTGTGTTTAGGACGAAAATGTTTTCAATTTTTTTTTATATTTGATTAATCAAATTTTTTGAATAATATATTTTGTTTATTAAAAAATAACTTTAAAATAAGAAAAATGACCCGTGAAATTGTTTAAACATTAGGGGAGCTGCATGGGCGGGGTGCTTCGTCCCCACTCCGTGCATCTCCCTCCTGTCTTCTGTGCATGCACGCTGGATGATTAACGAATTATGGCACGAAAAGCATCAAGAAATACTAAATTGATAGGGTGCCTCTTTCCCCCCATTCACGGTGTTCATGGAGATCTCTACTCCTTTAAAAACATTTTCAATTGGTCTCTCCCTCGTCACGCTATATCTATTTCTCATCATTCTTAGTTTGTCTCAAGTAAAATGAACTTTTTTGAGATTTTCATGATTCTCAACTATTCTTTTTGTCCTATATTAATTGTTTGCTTTTTCTTTTATACGTTTTCTAAGAAATTATAAATAAGAAGGATAGTTTTCCTAATTTATCTTTTGAGATTTTCTTTTTGATCTTTATAAATTATTTACACTTTCAAAAACAGAATTCATCGCAAAAGTAATGAGAAATTTTCAATTAATTCGATCTTAATTTTATAATTTAACAAGTAACATGGATATATAACTAATATGAGACGGATGGAGTATATAATACATATATTAATCATAATGATATTATTGTTGATGGTTGAGATTATAGTTCTATAAAGTGAACAAGATCAACTTGATCGTCATCCTGTTGGAAAATAATAAATACAACGATTCTTTAATTATATCACCTTTTGAATATAATATATTTAATTTTTTTTAAAAATATAATTATAATCAATAAAAATCAATTAGGAACTAAGTCGTGATAAATTATTTTTGAAATATTTTTCAAACTGGACAAGTACTAATTTGATATTTATTTTATATTATATAGTGGATAAATAAAAATAAACGTTTATCTCAAAAGGTACTATATGCATAATGACAAATCCTTATATTCAATAGCCATGAAATTCTTCCATTATAAATTGTATTTTTAATTTGATTAGTCTTGAGTGGGACATAGTTTTTCTTTTTTCAATCAACTGTCCACTATGGTGGCTTCTTGGTGTGGGCGGGATTGGCTTTAACCCCAACCTAACCTCGTATATTAAAGAGGAAAAGAAGTACAGGACATCGACTATAGCCTCTAAAACAAGAAAAAAAGACTAAACCAACAGATCTTTTTTTGTCTAGATTCGCACCGAAAAATCTCACAATATTAAGGTAAAATGCTTCCAAACAAAGACAATTTCGTACTTAGAAAGACTCAAATTTGAGATCTCTAATTAAAAATGAAGGAGGACTTACCCCTCCATAGGCCTTATTCTGTCATCATTGTCTTTATTCCTCACTTTTTATTGACATTTGAATCCATAGGCTTATTTTATTGACTTTAATAACCTTAGCAACCTTTTTATCTCTCAACTTTCCTAATGTCCTTTTTACTTTTATGAGATGGTGTTTATATATATATAAGATGGAGAATTGAACCCTTATTGATAAAATGAAGTTTCAGGTAGTCAATCAATTGAGCTACATATAATTGCATGAAGGTGTATTTTCTACGTATCAGAGTCAAATAATTCAATTTTTAATCAATAGTGCATGAAGTAGTCATTTATATTTAGCACATGGCCTCTGAATTTCGTTCTACTACGCTAACAATTTAGTCCAAACTGGAGCTACATAAATGTACAAATTACTTCTTAAATAATTATATCCTTGTCTATCTATAGTACTTAGTCAAAATGTGTGGGTAAATTAAAAGATTATAAATCAAGTTGTGATTTGAACAAATCTATATTGCACAACTACTTCATTGTTTAATCTCAGCTGACAAGTAAATATTTTAATTTTGAGAGTGCACATTTAGATAAACTCAACTCATTTCCACTGTATTAGTAGAACACTTCAACTTACAAATTCAAATGATCATTTAGAGTACACTTCCAAAATATGAAGCCGGAAATAGACCAATTTTATATCACTCTTCAATTCGAATTAGCAAAAGCAATATCTCCTTGCATAATATAGATTCTAATTAAACATTCATGATCTAGATGTGAATGAGTCGAATGACTTATCCCTCGATCTATTAGTGAACTATCTCTCCAGAGATTGTGAAAAATGTTCTACTAGAAATATTCTTGTTATTCCTTTGATTCATATTCCCCCAAAAGTGGATCCCACTCTAATAGCTCCGAATAAATTAAATATGTGTGTTGAGATCGAAAACACTTTTTCACACTTTCATATATTAGGAGATTTCACTTGGAAAAAAAATGTTATTTATGTGTCATGTTGGCGTCGAATGTTCATGAGTCAGAGTGAGAAGAAGTTGAAGTGTCAGTTGATACACGATGAGTTGATGCCTACATATACACTCTTAAAATTAAAGACCTTACCTACCAATTGAGATAAAGTTTAAATTTCTATTGATGTATTATGTATATTATGCATAAACTAATTTCATATAATATATTTAATGTAATTAACTTATTTACCTACGTGATGTATGCTTGCAAACCACTCACAAAGCATATCCAAATTTTTAGCTTACAAAGTGTCTTATAGTAACATTTTATGTACATTTCGATCACTTGGAGAATTGAACAATAATACGACTAACACAATGAGAAAAATAGAAAAATCTCAGTAGTTCAGTTGATTGACTATTTGAACTTTCACCTTATTGGCATGGGTTGTACAATACTAAATTATTACTTCATCTTTTACAATGATGAGAAAATGGGAACACCTGGTAAGGTACCTCCACCATCGACAATGAAGATATTGCCCGTTACATATTCAGAAGAATCATGAATCAAATATCGAATTACTGTTGTTAAAGCTGGATCTGTTGTTCCAATATATATCTCTGAGGGAGGGTTTTATAAAGAAATTTATGTAACCATTTTTGTTGTAAAAGGCTCTCTGTTATCTCAGATTTGAATATTCTTGGTGATATTGAGTTCACCCTGATCTTGTCTACTCCTAATTCAAGAGCCATTATCTGCAATTCGATCATGATCAAGTAGATTTATCATAATCTATAAACTCAAAATATTGACTCAACACGCATAGTGAAATATCTATGTGGAAGAGAGCTAATAACAAGTCATCTCAACGTACATTCATCTTTTAAGTCTAGAGAAATTAATTAACGTACCTTAGTGACCATGTCAAGAGCCATCTTTGAAGAAGCGTAAGCAAGAGTCCCTGGTACTACTACTCGATTTAGGGCAGCTATTGAAGTTATATTAATAACAGATCCTCCACCCTGTTTAGCATCACGCATATGTCTACAAACATATTTTGACACTAACCATGCCCCTCTTAGATTTGTCTTAAAGGTATGTTCCCACTCTTCCTCTGACAATTTGAGTGAAGAGCTCACACTACCAATATAAATTAGCCAATTTCCTATTATTATCAGTAGTAGCGGAAACAGGATTTCATACTATAAATCAACATATATGTACGTTAGTTAGCAATGTTATGTTCAATTATATTACTTCTAACACTGACATTGTTAACCAAGACATCGATACGTCCAAAGGCGTCCCAAGCTATTTTTACCGCGGCCTCAATAGTAGCACCATTAGCCATGACATCAAGCTCGAGGGCGAATGCACGCCGGGCCGGGCCCTCTGAATTAATCTGGTTGCAGAGATTTGTCAGCCTGTCAACACGACGGGCTGCAGCAATGATCCTGCAACCGGCTTTTGCTAAGTCGAGACAGAACTCTAGCCCGATTTCCGAGGAGGCCCCTGTCACCATCACTACTTTCCCAGTCAGGTCTTTCCATGGCTCCATTGTTCAATTTAATTATTATGCTGAAATAATGCAATAGTGAGAGAGTTATATATGCAGGGTTCAAGAATCTAAGTTGGCCAGCCTAATTAGCACTATCGTACCTCGTGAACCGTAAATCCTTAAGAACAACTTGTATCAAATTATATTATAGAGTGACGGAATCAAAATTTTCATAACATTTCAAAATATTAAAAAAATAAACATACAATATAATATTACTAGTTGTGATTATTGTAATTAGTTTAAATACAATCATGTGGTTGAATTTTCCTAATTATAGATCTTGAAATACATCAATAATTTGTTCTAATTACAACTTGATTTATAATCCTATAATTATTAATTCACGCATTTTATAAATAAACCAACTATACACAAGGGATATAATTATTTAAGAAGTAATTATTAGTACACTAGATTTAATTTAGACAAAATTGTTAACGTAGTATTGAACAAAAAATTAAGAGGCCATGTGCTTAATTGACTACTTTATGCACTATAAATTATGTGTATATTTAAGAAGTAATTATTAGTACACTAGATTTAATTTAGACAAAATTGTTAACGTAGTATTGAACAAAAAATTAAGAGGCCATGTGCTTAATTGACTACTTTATGCACTATAAATTGTGTGTATATTTGGACCATTCCATGTAACTAGTTCAATATACAAAAATACAAGCACCTCTAGATCTGTAATCGACGATATGTATTAATTAAATAACTTTGTCGTATCTGATTCTTAGTAATGAGGCCATTAGTGAAATCTGTTTTGCTAATTTTCTTAAATAACTCTCGCATGGTTAGTTTGGCAAGATGTGCAACTATTGAATGAATAAAATAAGCCAAATCATTAGTAAATACGTACTAAATACTGGTAGGTAATTTCAATCATTTAATTTGGATCATGACCATATACAATTATTGATACAAGTAATAGGATTAGGAGAAATAACTATACATATAGCCTTTGTCATTTTATTGATGTATTGTCGGTGAATGTTTTTTCTTCCTAGTACTAGATTCCAGTTTCATGTTCCATCATTATTAAAACTTTATCCATTAGAATATTTGTTTTATTATATAAATAATTATTAGCAATATTTTATAAACCCCAGACAGTACTCACGTTGTTGTTTCCATGGTCGGTGTCTGGACACCTGATAACAGTGAGGAGGGATGACGTTCTTGATATCACCAATTGTAAAAGGAGGCTTTGAAATTGGTACTCTTTCGAGAGGATTTTTCTTTTGTTCAGTAGTCTTAGTTGTTGGAGTAGACATATTGCCACCGCCTCTCATTTTTTTGTTCTTCTATCCTATCAACGTGCGGAGAATTCGTTGAGAGTTTGTCAAAAAAATAATAATTAATTTGTTAATAGAATAGAAAGAAATATTTTTGGTAAAAATTGGAGAAGTTCAAAAGATACCTTCTTTTAGCCTCACCTAAATGCGTAGAGAGTTCTCTCTTCTTTATAGAAAATAGAGAACAAGAGGTCTGGCCAACTCTTTTTAAAAAAGGAATAACCATATGGTATTCATAACTTAATTATTAGTTTGACTAGTCCTGATCCTTGCGATGCAGAGAAGAAGCATTTTCTATCAAATAGTCAAATTTATTTGACTGAGGCCTAAATATTCCATTTACCCCATTACAACCTTTTGGTGGTCGACTAAGCCAGCCAAATTTATTCGTTAAATAAAAATAGTAGATATAGATCTGAAAATAAATTAGTATACGCTAGTAGAAAATAAAAGCGGCCATATGTATATATATATATATGAGTTAAAATTTTCACTAGTTAAGATGACTCATAATATGAAGAAGTAATTAACACAATAATTTTTTTTATTAGAGTTCGTTAAAAATATGATTGTGATAATTTTAAATGAAAATAGTACAATCACGTGGCTGAATTTTCCTAGTAATAAATCATGAAATACGTCAATATGGATTTGTTCTAATTACAACTTAGTTTATAATATTTTAATGAACCCACACATTTTGACTAAGTACTATTGATATAAGCAATTTATTTAAGAAGTAATTAGTACACTTATGACGTAGCCTACTACTGGATTTGCATGCATGGTCAGAAATATGAGATTTCTGACTGTCTCCCTCCCTCGAAACTTTCCATCAGAAATTTGATGTTTTTTTCAAAAAAAATAATATAATTAATTTCAGCAATTATTTTCATAACAGGAAGTATTAGTACTCATTCACACCAAAATGATTGTTACATATAAGTAGATATTTATTTTATTGCATAATGACGGATTTAACAATACAATAGTAACAACTTAAACCAACATTTAACAATAAAATACAACAAAAACACACAATTATTCAAAATCCTTGCACCTTCTTAATTAGGTTAAAACATTTAACCAATTCCAAGTAATTGGTCTCTTGGTATATTACTTTCAAAGCTTGTTTTTATACCAATAAACACCTCTACCTTGAGATCCTTCATCCTTTTCCACATAGATGCACTCCTTTGTATCCCTCCACATTGCCTTTATAATTGGGGTATCATCAACTTGGTAGTAATCTCCTAGCAATGGTTTAATAGCGTTGGTCGCCTCCATTGCATGGTAATGTGATATGTATGAGAATATATGATGCAAAACATGAGTATCTGTAACATTATGGAACACCTTATTTAGTATACCATAGTCTCTATCCACCGTAGCTAAAGCTCCTCTTAGAAAATCCCACTCCGATGAATCATAATGTGGCAATGAAGCATGAGTGTGGTGCATAAGAGTGATCAGCACTATAAATCCATTCACAATTAGGAGAGGCACTCCATAGATGCATAGAACCCAAGTTAGCCCTTGTGTCATAGCAAGGCGGTATAATACATAAGTAGTTGCAATCACACCTGCATCTGAAATGTAGATTTGCATTCTCTCGCGGTTAGAATATAATGGGCTATTTGGATCGTAGTGACATGTAAAACGTTCATATTTTTTGCCGGAGATATTGAACATCAAGTATAAAGGCCAGGCAAAAGTGAGGGTGAAGGCAAGTACGAATACTCGTCCTAATGGATTGTTCAAGTATTTGTAGTACCATCTTAGTTTGGATTTAAACCTAGGTATGTAAACTTCATCATTCTCAAGGGAACCTGTGTTGGCATGATGGCGACGATGACTATGCTTCCATGCAAAGTAGGGTGTTAAAAGGGCAGAGTGGAGGATATGGCCAACAGTGTCATCTACCCATTGGTAATCACTAAAGCCATGATGACCACATTCATGCCCAATGACCCATATTCCAGTGCAAACACAACCTTGAGCGATCCAATAAGCAGGCCATGCAAGGTAAGTTAATGGGGATGGAAGGAGGTGGAAGTAAGTGTTGGCAATATAATAGAAGATGGAGACAAATATGAGATCTTGAATAAGATAAGAGAAGGAGCGAATTAGAGAACGTTGGAAGCAGTGAGGTGGAATGGCCTTCTTGACATCGCCAAGTGTAAAAGGGGGCTTTGCAGATGGAACTCTTTGGAGATGATTTTTCTTTTGTTCATTTTTAGTTGTTGGAGTAGACATATTTCCACCAGCTCCCATGGTATTCTCCTGTCTCTTGATTAATCCTAAAATCTGCATCAATTAAGTTTACCTCAAATTAACTTTGGTTTACTATTATATATAGTTATAATATAAAACAATTAATCATTACGTAAATATGATATGTATTAAACAGAAATTAAAACAATTCAACCATGGCAAATCAAACATAAATGTTTCATTAAGAAAAGAAAATGTTAAAGTTCATAGTTTTTGATAGGATGATAAGCGGTTAATCTAAATTAAAGCCAAGATCAAAAGAGACAAATTTTTGGCCTTACTCTTTGTTTAAGAAAAAGAGATGAAATGCCTTAATAATTCTGATGAGTGGTTTCTCACTTAGTGAAAATATTGTGTGTATATAATGGCTATACATGGGACCCACTAGCCATCCTCTTTTGACCAATCCATGCACACTACCAATTTTATTATTTGGTAAATTTAATCTATTTCCATGGATATTTTGATTTAATTGGTGAGAAAAGAAAAAATAACAATATTTTTATACTATTTTATTGAGAATCTGTTTCCACCACATATTTTTTTTAGTGATCTGATTAAATGGAAATGAAAGGGGGATTCATAATCTATAACACAAATTTTTTAGTGATTTATATTGAGAAAAACGTTTGGGTTTGATAGTGGAGCCATTTTCCTGGCAATTTCATCCATGTCTATATACTACATCGCAATTGGAAAAAATAAAATAATACAAAGATTATTGTATAAGTTAATTATACGCGTACATAACTATTCTGGAAATTAAAATAGAAAACGAACAAGGAACAAATTAATGATGCAATTTTTTTGTACATAATTATTAATTTTCTTAATACATTATAAGGCCTCCAACTTTAATAATGGCAGATCAATAAACTGACAAGGTGGCTAGAGTTATTTAAGAATGTAATTAAGTACAGATTACCGGCATGGGTTGTGGTTGTTAACATCCAATTGACCTAATATTTTCAAAATTCGTAACTATTAAGTTTTATTTATTCAATACTTCAAAATACAACTTTTATAATTTTAAATAAGTTTTATTGATAATTATCTTTATTTGTCAAAATTTCAGGATTTTTTATCAATTAATTTTAATTACATTATTTTTTGTCACAGCCGGTTGACTACGTTCAAATATTTGTTCATTTTGATTAAATCATTGTTTCTATTAAATTACATTTTTTACATGTCATTAGTTACGTTCATTTCATTTTATTCGTTACATTTGTTAATATTCATTTTGATATTTTGCACATTCTAGAAATTCATTCAAATATAGATAAGTTTTCATACACAGATATTTTATTAACTAGTGATTTTGGCTCATAGTTTTAAGATAATGATATTGTACTATTGGTGGTTTTCGATTTTCTATTTAAGCTATTTCTTAGTCATTAAGTTAGGGTGGTGGATAAGATTTAGGGATAATTTTTAAATTTTTTTAATCTTTAGAAATTTGTTATAGTATTCATAATTTTCCATCATAATCTGATATATTGTGTGTTTAATGAAAATTTTGATTCCGTCATTTGATACAAGTTGTTCTTAAGAATTTACAGTTCGCGAGGTACGATAGTGCCAACTTAGATTCTTGTACTCTTGCATATATAATTTAGGACTACATAGTCCTAAATTTTGAACAAAATTCCACGTGCTTGACTATTCGTGCACTTAAAGTGGGTGACTCAAATAGCAACCAAATACTAATTTATTAATGAATAATAATTTAATATCAATCTACAACTATACATTAAAGCAAATCAAATAAACATTACTGTATATCCAATAAAAATATAATAATGGCCCAAATGATAGTTACTAAATTTAAGGTACTTGTACTAGGAGGGTTTTTTCTTCTTTTCTTTAATCAACATGTACTAGGTAGATATTAAACCACTTTGTCCTAAATAAGTTTAATTTGTGCAAGTTACAAAATTTAAAAATACATAGACATACGGTTAACTTAACCCCAATATACACAAACTTATTCATTGATCAGCTAATTAAATACGTCAACTTGACACAGATATATCTCGTGAATTATCAGACAAGACATGACAAAATATTTGTCTTCCAATAATTGCATGATATGTTATTATATTCTTGTTAGAATGTGTGTTGATATATCTTATAATTAAGATCGATCGATCGATTCACGCTAGTGACTAGTTGTTTAGCATAATTATTTGATATTGTTGGCACCTACTACATATAAATTGTAATACCTTAAAAATACATTTTCCAGTAGCTAGTCGACTATATTGACTAAAGATTAAACAAAAAACTAATTGTGCCAATTATAAAATTGGGAGAAGGATATTGCGTAAGATTACGGAAACTAATTAAACGTTTTTACGTTGAAAGTGCCATTTGATTTATTTTATTTCAAAAAAAACAAATTAAAGTTTCATTTACCATAATTTAGTTAAGGGTAAGTATAGCTCATAAATAATGGACAGGATGGAGTATAGCTTATTAACAGGAAAAAGTGATAAGAGCCTTAGGTCCATTCAGTTTAGGTAGAGTTAGTAAACTTCACTTAAAAATAAAGATGGTAATCATTTGATTCTAACAAGTGGTATCAGAGTTAAGGTTATGAGTTTGATTCTCAAGAACAATATAGTTGCATGACTCAGCATGAGACAAGTATTGGAATGAAGAATGTTAGGTAACGTTAACATTCTACGTACCTATGAAGAGACTATAGGCTCTTAGTAGATATTAGACTTAATTAAGGTGTCATGACCCAATCTCAGATTCGTGACGGACATCATTGACAACATCTCCCTTATCGAACGAACCTTAACTCAAATATCAAATATATTTGGAAAGGGGAGATGTTGGATGCCGATCAACAATCAATAACGACAATAACATCATTATAATTAATACTATATCACAAAGACACAAACTGAGAATTTTCAAAATCTAAAGAAAGTTCATTTTATATGGGACAAACTTAGGATGACAAAGTTGAAAAAAAGAGGTTACTTTAATTTTGAAATCTTAAGTTTTCTTGTGAATACTTTATAGTAAAAAAATTTAATACTTAAGAAGAGAAAATAAGGTAACTTTAATTTCCCTCCATTCATACAATACAAAAAAGAATAGACTTTTAGGAGTAGTCCGATTGGAAAAGTAAAATGATATATTTGGACTCAACCAATTATGAGTAGGGTCGGGTATAAAATATCGAAAATCGAATTAACGAATCGAATAAAAATTTTTGGTTATTTGGTATGGTATTGGGAGTAAAATTTTAGAATTATGGTATTCGGGTTTGGGTTGGGTATGAGACATTATAACCATTTGGTATTCAGTATTTTCTGAATACCAAATTATTTACTTAATGAGGGTCATATATCAACATATCCATTACTCATTTGTACAAGTCCAAAGAGAAAGTTAAAGAATAAGCATGAATAATCCAAATACATGTCTTTTAGTTGTATTAGTCTGTTTTCTTGATGTCTTCTTATTTGTTGATCTTCTATTATATCGTGCGTCCACATAAAAAAAAATAGAAATGATTAGAGAAATAGTATTTTCTCAACTTTCACTTTGACTAACATCTATTTTAACGAATTAGTTATATTGGAGACATTTGACTGAAATTGAGCACGAGGAGTGACAAAGACTTGACGACCTCTACCTTATTACTAATTAAAATTAAAAAGATAAATACACTATGTACAAAGTGCAATTCCCTTCTTTCAAAATTCATCAAGTTAAAAACTATTTTTTTAAAAAATAAATAGGAACATGTATAGGAGATTTCAATTTAATGTTCTGTGAAGGTATATATGGTTAACTTTTAAAATAAAATATATTCATTAAATTTAGTAATAAATTCATGACATGTATTATTTCTCATATAAATTTTTCATCGTTCAATTATGACTAATTAATGTATTCTCACTTTTATCTTTTATTTGTTCTAATTATATTTCTTTTAATTAATTCACACATTTTAACTATTGGTAGACAATGATATACATATAATTATTTAATAAATTAGTACACTTACATAGTCCTAAATTTTGATAAAGTAGTTAACGTAGCATTGAACAAAATTCAGAGACCACGTGCTTGACTATTCGTGCACTAAAGTGGGTGACTCAAATATCAACCAAATAATAATTTATTAATGAATAATAATTTAACATCAATCTTCAACTATACATTATTAAATAAAAAAACCTTACTGTATATCCGATATAAATATATAATAATGGCCCAAATGATAGTTACTAAATTTAAAAAGTACTTGTACTAGGAAGGTTTTTTTTTTTTAAATCAACATGTACTAGGTAGGTATTAAACCACTTTGTTTGTCCTAAATAAGTTTGTAGAAGTTTCAGAATTTCAAAATACATATACATACGGTTAAACTTAACCCCAACTATTAACTTGATACACAAACTTATTTATTGATCAACTAATTAAATACGTCAACTAGGTCCAAGTGTATCTCGTGAATTATCATATGTACGTGACAAAATATTTCTTTCAATAATTGCATGACATGTTCTTATATTCTCGCTAGGATGCATGTGTGTTGATATATCTTATAATTTAGATCAAATTCACATTGGTGACTAGTTGTTTATAGATTAAAAGTTTGAATAATATTATTTGATGTTGTTGGCACATACTACATATACCTGAAAAAATACATTTTTTGAGTAGTCGATTATATTGACTAAAGATTAAACAAAGAAGTAATTGTGCCAATTATAAAATTGGGGAGAAGGATATTGCGTAAGATTACGGAAACTAAAACGTTTTTACGTTGAAAGTGCCATTTGAATTTTTTTTAAAAACAAATTAAAGTTTCATTTACCATAATTTAACTAAGGGGTAAGTACTATAGCTCATAAACATAAATAATGGACAGGATGGGAGTCTAGCTTATTAATAGGAAAAAAATGATTTAGAGCCTTAGGTTCATTAAATTTAGGTAGAGTTTGAAAATTTCACTTTAAGCGTTTGATTCT